CAACCACAACTCCACAAAAATCAATTTTAGAAAGTCTAGACGCCCTACAATTATATTTTCGGATAGATACAATGCCTGCATCTATACAAGTTCCCACAATCCATTGATGATCACAACCCATTGACACTCAAAAAAATAGATACACCCACTAATTAAAAAACACGGAATAACAAAAAATTGCAAATATTAAACAATTGAGGGTGAGGCAATACACAACGATAAACAACAATTCTCACAATACTCATTTTAAAGGATGTATTATTGTAGCAAAATGCGATAACATATGCCTTCCAAACAATACTTCACATTTTAAAGAAGATATTTTTGTACTAAGACGTGATACCATATACACCTTAGGCCTTGGATTATGGAGGCTTAAGGTAACAATATTATGCAACCAAGCAAAACACATGGGATTGAAAAATTGTCAGTTCCAATCAAGAATAATCAAACCACCATGCATACCTGCTGTTGAGGAACCTTTGAGTTTACTAAATTGCTTGCAGTTTGGTTTTCGACACTAACAACACGTCGACGTTTAACCCTGAATATTTCTGAATCGGAGTCATCACTCTCTTGTAACCTAAAATCCATTAACTGGCCACCGCATAAATCTCTCTGCTCCTTAGACAAGCATTTACGCTCTAGAGGAGCTTCATCTGCATTGTCTGTAATGTCTCCACTTGCTGGAAATTCAGCAGCCATAGTTACCCTGATCACATATGTGCTCCCACTACCCTATAGACCATTAAAAATAGACATTTGAGCATCCTACTACAGCTCCAAAAGCATACTCTAATCAAGGACATCAGAGAAACCATAGTCCATCTGGCCATTCTTGTCCAATGAAATGAACCACGACATAGATGGCCAGAGAGGGCCTGCCAGGAAATGAGAAGATTCCATTGGTGGGTTGCAAAGGCCCCCTCTTCATCCTTGTCCATCATTTCATTGGACACAGATGACCCAATGGACACAGTTCCTCCACAATCCATGGGATTATAATATACTTTTCCCCATGGAATAAGCAATCAAATATAGCTATCACAAAATCAGCACTCAAATATATAGAGATGTCATGGAAGTAAAGGCTCACATCTGATGGTAAGGATGAATTTTCTTGAGGCCTGTAGGAAGAACACAAGGTTGATGTTCCACATGAGTGTGCCTGCTCTTGAGCTTCAACTTCAGTAAAATCCTTACACCTCCCACCATTTTGCACAGAAAAGCTCTCACAAACATCATTGAATGTCATTGAATCACCATTTTGCAAAGGCAAGCTCTGAGAAACATCTAATACCTTTGAATGCTCATCACCTTGCCCAACATCCAGCTTGGTTTCACAATTTATAGCACAATATGCCACATAACCATCCTCAGTGGATTTATATAGGCCATGTAGAACAGAACCATCACCATGGTGCAACAGACCGTAAAATTTTTCCAATATTCCCTCTTCCTGTTCAAACTTCTGAGACACAGATTCCATATCCATTATATCTTCCCTAATATGTATAACACGATTTCCTTTGCATGGACAACACCTTGCCTCAACCTCTGTGTTTAAAAGCCATGGGAAAAAAGCTTAATAAATGAATATAGCATCTTAGAAACCAAGCACAATGTTCATAGCTATGCCAAACAATTGAGCTCCAAGCACTTTTTTAAAAGAAATTTGACAAAAGGCTATTAGCAGTAATACTCTTAGATAGAGAAGTGAGGTTGGGCTATCTGCACAATATTAGGATATCTATTATGTTACTGGGATTGTATACAATGAGACCTACCTTTGATACAAGAAGGTCAGAATTATTTGCAACCATCCAATGCGAAACCTGGTCGCTTGGGTGTGACACAAAGTTCGAGAAAATTTAGTTTGAACTTTGAGCCTGGTCAATGGAATATATGCAGCCATCTAATTTCACATCCAATGGTCAAGATTAATTGTGACCACCTTGTACCAAAGATAAATGGTCTCATTGTATACTTTTGCTATGTTATTTTCATCATGCACCATGTTAGTATATATAGGAATATATGAAATCTGTACCATGGCGAAGGCAAATAGGATGATCATAACAGTTGCATCTGATGAATGCCACATAGCAATCATGTTTGCAAAGGCCACACAAAAGTGTTCCTTGGGAACTTGGCAAAAGGGCGGCACAAGCTCCAGCCTTCATGAGCAACCAGCGAGCACGGTGCTGAAGACGCATTAGATGCACAAAGGAAGCCATTACAGAGTGTTGACAAACCAGGTCTAGGGATGAATACTCTGGATCTTCATCTCCACTAGAAGATTTGCCCTTGGAAAGCAGCATTGCTTCTTTACAGAGAAGTTCCTCATAAGGAAGAAGAGGCACCCTGTTGAGAAGCCCATAGCGCCGGCTAGCAATTGCCCCGAGTGGAAACCAGTCACCAATCGCAAAGTTCACAGCCTCACCACAGTTAAAACCTAAACACATAAAACAAATACACATGAACACAGTGAAATGAGTAAATGACCAATTTAATAATAAGTGATGTACAGACGACGACACAGAACACATTATCAGGGATCATGACTGAAGAAATTCGACCAATTTAACAATAAGCAGAAAATAGACATATGAACTTAACCTACTTAACACCGAAAACGGAATCAAGCACTAGCTAACACCTTATCATGACTAAAAAATAATGACCTATTTGATAACAAGTAGAGACAATAGATATAACACTTGAAAACAAAAGCAAGAACACTTGATGAACACATCATCATGACTGGAGAATTAAAAAATTACCATGACTGAAGCCAGCATGATAAGCTCGAGGAAAGGTGATGATAAACTCTCCAGGTTTTTGCACAGCTTTATACACAGGGACACCATGATCCAACAAAATATTTGGAGGGAACATGGTTGTCTTCCCTAAGAGCACATCGAATGCTGCATCCTCACCAGGGGAAAGAATTTCATTCGTGTACACATTCTCCTGAACGACTTTTTCAAAGTCAGAAGCAGCATGACCGGGAATCCCATACCATGTCTTTGATGCTCCACAATGGTGATAGTTAATGCTGCAAATCCACAGTTAAGATTGGAATTATAATAAATATTTATATTCTCCTTCGTTCACAAAGGACAAAAATTAGCATTAGAACCCAAGACATACCTGTACAGATAATGGTCTTCAACATGCCATGCAAACATACTGAATAACATTCCAATGTAAAGCATGGGATCTGTTACACCCTGTAACCACCACGAAATGGTTAAATAACATATCCAACATGTATAAGCTGCAGCAATAAATTGCTATTGCATCTAAAATCTAATCTAACCAAGGAATTAAAGGTAATACCGGAATTGCATTGTCCAGAAGACGCAATATTGATTTGGGCAACCGAGAAAGTGTCTGCAAAATCAATAAAATGGGTAAAAACAATAGTTGTAAATAATTAAAAAAGGTGGATAGAAACACATTAATTTGCTTATGAAATGAGGAAAATAGACATATAGAGACCATATAAATGAGATAAATATTGAATACATGGCTCCACATAAATGAAATACAAAGCTCAGTATGAAATGGAGCCCATGCAACGCATCCAGAAAGCAATAAAGATATCAAAAACAAGATTTCCAGCTTATAAAACTGCATATCGGCAAGTAAAACTGCATATTCTGTCACTTGTTTTCCAAAAAGGCACGACATAAGAATCAGTACACACAATAAAATGAATAATTGATAGTGCCCTGTCCAGAGAAGGTGCTCTAATTCCCAGTATATGTATCACCAAATGTTATATTGTTATTAATAATAAATCCCCAAAAAATCCAAGGGTCAGTCACCTCAAAAATAATTGTATTTAAGCAGGCATTTTGTCTTAAGAAGAACTAGAACAGAGTGTCAGGCCATTAAATATGATTAAATGTCAACATAGAATGAGAAAGGATAGTATGACATCACAAGAAAGGGCAGTATGAAATGCTCACATTCAAGTTCCATTTGCTGCTTCCTAGTGGATCCTTTGGGGAAGAGGAAAAGGCACTGCCATCAATATCACAAGCATATTCAACACTCTCTGTCTTCCCACTTGCAATTTCACGCCAAAATTCTTCCTCTAAATACCTAGCAGGCAGACATCCTGCACTAGAATATCTTCGTGAAAACATCTTGTTTGCCATCTTCTCAAAATCACGGAAAGTATAATTTCTGAAAAGAAACGAAGAAACGCTCAAAAACTCTAAACCCTTCCAGAAAATCTGTATGTTACTCTGTTAATTTGCTCCAATTACCGACCTTCCACTCATAAAAAAGGTGACCTTATCCTCAACATCCCATTCAGCAAGCCTTAGGGGTTGGACTCGAGTTGAAAACTTGAAACCAGCCTTTTCCTTCATCAGCACCACACCAGCAGGAACAGAAGCACTCACAGGTGAAATAATTTTGCATATACCTACATAAAATTTCAAACAAGCATGAGTTATGAAGATAAAAGAAATATTGATGATCAGATAAATATCAAATACAATAAAATTGCAAATATTGATGATCAGATAAATATCAAATACAATAAAATTGCACTTATTTAATCCAAGTTCCAGCAATACATGCCATAAAAGAACATCAATCTGATGAAGGGATCAATGCTACATCAAGGCTTATCCCATGATCTTGTTCCACCACAAAGATTTCTCTTCCGTAAATTGAAATCAATTAACAAGGTGATTTTTTTATTCATGAGTTCCAATCATAGTTGGGCCAAATTTGCACCAAACTTAAAGTAGAATGACCAATAAAATGAAAAAAACCGAGTGCCATGCAACAATGGCAATTTTTCAATTTTTTTACTTCAACATAGCATATGCACAGTATCTATATGTCAAAGAGGAAATGGAGAGAGAACTTAAGTACAGAAGAGCATTAATGCATTGCAGTGTCACAACTGGCCAGATCAGCTTTCTATCTATTTTTCTAAATTCAAGAAATTTTTAGTTAAATTGAAGAAATATAACAATGAGAATAATAAAAAATAAGGAATTAAATAAATGAATAAGAATAATCAGAACTTATACACAGATGATTCTTATGAGAGAGAGAGAGAAAGAGATGGAAACATTAAAGCCACACAGGAATAGATACTAAACTCACATGGAGAGAAAGAGAGGTGTCAAATAGTCCTACATGGTCTTGGTAAAATATTCTTATGCCTCTTAGTACTGATAAATAACATAGCCCCCTTAACAAAAGCTGCCATGAATACTAAGACATGATAAAGCAAGTCAGGTTTGACATGCCCAAATTAATGGCCAAGCCTATCCATTTGAAGATGGGCCACACGGGGCCAAGATTCCCAAAATGAGTTGCCAGAAATAGCAGAACCAATATGCTGGAAAAGGATGAACAAGACCACAAAAAGAAAGGCAAAAACTGAAAGGGCCAGTTCACCAAGAACCGGCTAACTGAACCAGTCAGACCAAATAGTGAACAGTTTTACCAAGTCTGGTCCTGTTATAATAACTGTGTCTTAAGAGGAAAGCGACAAAAACAACTACGGATACATCACTTCCAATTCAGTTTGTGCCACAACTCAAAAAAGGGTGAAAAACCTATTACTTTCAAAGAAGGAATTCCATAAACAAAATCCCTATTAAATTCAAAGAAGGAATTCCAGAAACAAAATCCTAAGATGACCATAGTCTATATGATAAAGTTATTTAGACTTACAAGAAGTTGACAAACAAGATTTTCCAGATCCAATAATTCTCAGAAGAGTCCCTGCCATTTATCTGCAAATGTCAAAAGCTATAGAGCTGGCTTGAAAGGAAGGACAAGGACAGGGAGAGGGATGAATAGGAATTCCATATTCTACTGGCTTCATCACATAGACCTACAAGTTACAATCATGATTTTCCAGATCTAATAATTCCCCAGAAAAGTCCCAGCCATCTATCTGCAAATGTCAAAAGCCATAGAGTTGCAAGGAAGGACAAGGACAGGGAGAGATGAATTTCAGAGAGAATAGTCTTATGAGATTATGTGCGTATCATTTAAAAATTTGGAATTAGATAAAAAATTGGTGGTAATCTTGTAACTATTTTAAAAAATGACTTTAAAATCAATGGCAAATGAATATTTCCCTTATTAAATGAATATTTCCGTTATTAAATGCATACAACATTATGTGAAACAATATTTCTAAACAAAATACAGAGGATACAGTTTTCAGAACCAAAATGCGGCATCTTGCAATTTAACGTTAACAGATGTCCCATAAGCAATGTACGAAGTTTCATCAACATGGCATCAGTTTCATCATCTAAAATAGCAACAAATATCATAGACAATGCTGTTTCCAATCTAATAAGCCAATCCTAAAATACACACTATTTAGAGCTATTTAGAGCAAATCCTAAAATAAAAACATTTTTTGGTCTCCCTTCAATACGTGCAGAAGGAAGACAATGAAGTGGCTAATACATTAGCCCAAAATATGGTCCAGTGAATGGTCTTAGTGTGCATGAGTCCAGCCATCATTGTAATTTCATCATAAACAATCACTTATACTCTTTATCTATTCAGCAGTTAAAGTTGTTTCTCAAATGATTCTTTCTTAATGTCAGTTCTGGTAATTGATTGATAAGAAAGATGCACCTTTAGTCTATATTGAAGTATCAAAAGCCCTAATGAAAAAAAGCCCCAAGAAGAAAATGTCCAAGTGACAATGGAGAAATAATGTTTAGATCCATAACTAAAAGACAATTCTACAGATGCTAAAAGAGGAGCAAAAGAACCCCAGAAAGTAATGCAAAGAAAATGAGGAGTCATCAAATGAATACAAATTCAATCAGAGTAACCAGGCAAAAATAAATAGCTGACTAAATCGGCTTCAAAACTCATAGGATACAAAGAAATATGTTCCATTTTATAATATAAAATTCTGTGAATTTTCAAGGAAACAATTCCCAGCAGTCAAGCATTACCAAATTTTGAAGCTGTAGGAGCTATCTTTTGAAGATATACCAATGGGTCCTTAAACTCTTCCTTTGTGGGGCTGTACACAGGACAAACTGGTACTTTGCCAATCCAGTCTGAATCATGTGCAGCAAATTTTTTCACATTATGCTTTGCAAACACATCCTTTACATTGGATCCACCGGGGACCCTGGAACCAGACTCCGCTCTTTGATTTAAGCTCATCCCACATGATGCTCGAACTCTCAAGGCATCTCCCCCACTTCTGGACATCATATTTGCACTGGAAGTTCCCCCCTCGGGCACAACACCCAAATTCATCAGGTTCTGCTTTTTACCAATCCCATTCTTGACCTCTCTAGATGCACAAAGCCTTCCTTTCACCTGTCAAAAGACAAAAACAATGTAAATGCCACCTTTGAAAACATGCAATACCAAGTGATGGTACTAGCAGTTGAAGGAATCTAACTTAGAGAGAAAAACCTAAAGAACAGGTGCAAAAGTTAATAAAGACATTCAAGAGTGGAATATTTAGTGGGTGCACAATTCAAAATAATAATAATAATAATGAGTAGAAAGTCATAACAAGTTGACCATGATAAACCTATGTATACACATAAAGACACATTAATGCCTTCAAACAGTGAAGAGTTATAAATTGCATGCCCACAAAATAAAAGAGTTATATATTGCATGCCCACAAAATAAAAGAGTTATATATTGCATGCCCACAAAATAAAAGAAAGACTCAAACTTTAATACAACCAAAATATTGTTATATATTGCATGCCCACAAAATAAAAGAGTTATATATTGCATACCCACAAAATAAAAGAGTTATATATTGCATGCCCACAAAATAAAAGAAAGACTCAAACTTTAATACAACCAAAATATTTTATCAAACATCATAAATCTTAGAAGATCTACTAAAAATCAAAAAGCAACAAATTTTGGTCACATATTTCAGAAAGACTCAAACTTTAATACAACCAAAATCTTTTATCAAACATCATATATCTTAGAAGATCTACTAAAAAACAAAAAGCAACAAATTTTGGTCACATATTTCAGGGAGGATATTTAGTAAACTGCCACTATGATAAGGTCATGCCGAGTTTATGCCAAAAGACACTTTCATGGCAAGGTAATGGAAAAGACAATGCTAGAACTTTCTTATTAAGAGAATGGTTTCAAAATAATTATCTACACAGAGATCTTAAAATAGGTATAAACTCTAAATCCGACCTACTAAATAAACTCGCTTGTGCCAAAAAATCTTCTTAAATGTAATGACATCTAAAATATAGCTGGTTTCAAACGTGTATGGATTAGATTGCACCCTACTTATTCCATATTTATAGCCCTTTTTCACCGATATAATATCTTTAGGGGTTAAGCCCACATAAAAAGTAAATGTAAAGAGCCACGTACTTAATTTCGTCAACTCCATTAATGCAGTCCACAATTAAGATGGAGTTGTCCCTTGCAGAGAACATACCAGCCATTTTATAAATACATACTTCGTTTGCTACCTATACTAGTCTTGGTCCGTGAATATCATGGTTAGCTAGGTTCCCAGAAAGAAAGAATCAACAAAATGGACTAAAATCGGTTTCACAGTACTTCAAATTACATCAGCAAAGTGTAAAGAGAAAAAGGTATACATCAGCAAAGTGTAAAGAGAAAAAAATATATCCAACCCCAACACCCCACCCCTGTCTGGTATTAGCATCCCTCACTTTTGTCTTTCTTCGCATTTCTACTCTGTTTTTCGCTCAGTGTGTATGCATCCTGAATGACTGCACTGAATGCAACTAGATGCTGCCATCTATAAAAACAATCAGCCCTGCTCTCAATGGCGCTAGCCCATTTTTTGTTTGAGCTTGGTGCCAACAAGGCTCAAGTGCACCAAGTCAATTTATAGCCCACCATCCTTTTGTGTGCTCACATGGCTGTAAGGTTTAAGCCCAAATGCACCATGCTGCATGCTAGCCTTGTCCACCATGATGGCCAGTTGACCTAAGGCTTGAGCAACCCCAACACCAACCCCCAACCCCAAAAAAAATAATAATAATTTGTCGGTACAAGAAAACAATCAGTCCCTGATTCATTTAAAAGCTGTTGCAAATTTCTTGTATATTGCTTTAGTGACAATCCTTTTGTGTGCTCGCATGACTGTAAGGTCTAAAGGTCACACACCATGCCTTGTTCGACTCAATAGCTTGGTTGACCCGAGTCTTGAGCACTCCCCTCCCACACCACCCCCCAACCCCCCCACAAAAAAAAAATAATGATGACGAATTTGTGGTACAAGAAAACAATCAATCCCTGATGCATCTAAAAGATGTTGTAAATATCCCATATATTGCTTAGTTTGGCAATCAATCCCTCATGCATCTAAAAGATGTTGTAAATATCCCATATATTGCTTAGTTTGGTTTTATTTACTGGTTAAATTTTATATCTTCCATTATCAGTTTTTTGTTGAATACATCATAACAAGTGTCAAACCCCAGAGCATTATGCCTAGTTATCCACAAGTTTCAAATCCCCATATGTATGCCTAGTTATCTGCCTGATACAACTTTCAATGTGTGTGGAATTTCCAAAAATACATGTACGATAAAAGAGCCTTTCTATACTCTATGACTTGCCTTTTTAGATTTTCCAGACAAACATACCCCTAGTGCTTTTTGCTTATTTCCAAATAAAACCATCAAATAAACCCCTCTCTAAATGAAGCTAAAACTTTAACACGTTCTCCCACTTTCCATACAAATAATTTATGCATTTCCAAGAAATGCCCAAATAATTAAGTGTAATCTCCCACTTCCCAAGGGATTCACCTCCCAAATCTGGCAAATGTCACATAGCATCATAATTATCACGACTGAACCAAACCGGCCAGTCGGATTGTTTGAACCGCCTACCAATGCGTAGGATCCAGTCGAATTGTTTGAACCGCCTACCAATGCCTAGGATGGTATAGCCCAAAGCAAAAACCAAGTTTGGCTCAAAACTAGTCAAAATCAATGTTTAACTGGTTTAAGGCAGTTGAACCAGCCAATTCGGACTGATACACAAACCTGGGCAATTTTAAAAATATCTTTTACTTTAAGCTAGTACTATTATTTTTCTTTATTTTGTTAAATCTGGTCCGACGAGTTCAACAGGCGGTCGGACCAATTTTAACAAGACCAAACCTCTCACCAATTAGGCAGCTAGTAATTTTAACAAGACCGAACCTCTCACCAATTAGGCAACTAGTTTGTTTCTTATAACGCTACACAAGATATATTTAAATAATATTCTTTCACATTATATTTTATTTTCCTATATTGCGAAAATGCCTATTTCTACGTAACCAATGTCAGTTTGCCATCACATTGCACTTCTCTTCTAATTTAGTGGTACAAATATGTGCATACATACACACCAGTATATCTTTATTACTCAACTCTTGTGGGTTGTTAGGGAACCTTGGCCATCGTTCATGTTATTCTACCAAAAGGCGAAGTAATAAGGTATGTCAAATGGACTCCTGAACATGACAACTTTGTTCGAAAGCATGGTAGAAATGGGTGCTACAAACCTGCGGAAGAAGGATTGGAGAGAAGTATCCTCCGTCATGTGTGAGTATGGACCAGAATTTTGCATAGCAAGGCTAAAAAAGCGATTTAAATGTTTGAGGTATACTTATAGTAATGTTAAACAACTCCTTAATCAGCCTGGTTTCCAATTTGATTAAGGTACTAGGAGAATAACTGGGCCCGGTTAGGAGGAATATGTTTAGATAATTTTAAAATATGGGTGTAATTTTTACTTTTAAAATCAACATGCAGGGACAACTATTCAAACTTTAGAATTGAAGGGAAGCAGTTCAGCATTGTTGTACCTCCTATGCAGCTCATGGATCAAGCTTTCGCATAGGACATGGCATAGCGCAACCTGTGGAACAGTTTAATTTCATTATGATCATAAGCCTAACTTCAGAACCCATGAAGTGTAATTTTGGACTTCTTGGAGATTTTGTATTTAATTTCTTCATTATATATTGAGATGCAGTGTTATGGACATGATGCAATTAGGGAATAACTTATCGTGGGTCGTGTAGATATATAAATATATATATATATATATGTGTGTGTGTGTGTGTGTGTGTGTGTGTGTGTGTGTAAGAGAGAGAGAGAGAGAGAGGGGGATACATAATTCAACCTATAAAAAGATAAGAAAATATGACTGGAACCGTCTAAGGTGCTCGTTGTATTTAACTTCTACATTACCTAATAAGATACGGTTTTATGGATATAACAACAAACAGCCAAACCTGGTTTTCATCTTCATGGTGGCAAACAAGTTATTTTTCATATACTTGGTTCTTCCAACAGCCAACATTTTCAAAATCAGCTTTTACATATACTAGAATCTGCATAACCAGGTTTTGAGTCATATCAAGGATTTGCATTTCCAGGGACCCAAACGACCCACTACAATATACTTTTCAACTTATATTTCAACTTATGTTGACCATGGATGGGTACTAGGGTACATGTACATGGCTATGCCTATCTATTTATTTCTTTTAAATTGCTCCAATCGATTTCTGCATGCACCATATAGGAAATGCATTCTGCCTCATCAATAAGGTTGCTGGATTTTATCCCATTTTTACCAAACAAGAGAACAGCGTACAAGACTTCCGACTAGCACTCCTGTTTTGTCATTCAATTATAGTGCCATATTCTTTTGGAAACTGGTTTCTATTTGTCAGAAAGTTATAAGTTCATTCATTTGCATAAATTAAAAACATATCTTTTTTAATCTTTTAAGGATTTATATGCCTAAACTAAAAGCATATATCTTTTAATCTTCTAAGGATTTATATAATGGAACAGCACAAAATTAAATGTAAAACCCAAATTGTGTTTTATGATAGTACTGTCATTCATAAATAAGACGTGATTCAAAGGCATAACAAATTTTTGGGAAAATATTAATAGAAATATAGTATATATATACAGAAATATAATATATATACAGAACAAACGAGACGGGAAAAAAAAGGTAAGAGGAAGCAAGAGCAATATTATCTTGCTAACTAGAGAGCCAGTTAAATCTTTTTCAGAAGAAAAAAAAAAAGGCATAAGGAGCAACATAAATCCATTCCAAATTTCATCTACAACTAAGCACATGAAAGAAAAATAAAAACTAATGACACAAATACCTAACTTATAACAAGCTGGATCACATTTTTCACCATTAATGACATCAAAGGAGAAGAAGCATTGCACAAGGAAATTAACAAAATTCATTTTCCACAAAATCACCAAAAACTAACCAGCATCTAGATCCACAAAATCAACCATAGACCACTAAAACAAAAGAATAAATCAAGCATTACCACCAGAAATCATGAAAATAAAAATATATAAATTATATGGACAATGCATCAAAGTATCAGAACACATACCATTTATCATGCCTCTCACCCTTAAGCCTCCAATTTCGCAGAACAAGAAACAATATTCCACATGAGAAGCTTCGAATATTCTAAAAGAATCCCTGAAACCCTACAAGACAAAACCCTAGAAAACAATTCTCGCCATTAATGTCCAGAAGGCATGTTCTTCCTTCTACAATGGCCTGGCATTATACGCTAGAAATTGCAGATCCAGGCCAAATAAGGCGAGGAAGCACAGCAAAAAGGATGAGAAACAATTAGGGTTTTCCCAAGAAAAGGGGAGGAGGAGAGGCCAGCGAACCACCGGAAAGGAAAATCCGGCACCGGAAAAGGAAGAGGGTGAAATCGAGGACAGACAATCACCGGAGAGAGAATAAGAAAACAGAAACGTAAGAAAACGAGAATGCCGTAGACCGGGAGTTATTTATAGGCGGGAAATAAAAACAAAAAGTACGAATATACCCCTGATCGTTTATCCAATGACCGGGAAGACCTTGGATTCCGAGAAAGTACCGAACCGCCGCGCTTTTTTAGATATGACCATTCTACCCTCGTACGGGGCACGCGGGAATGGGCTAAAGCGGGTCAAAGTGGCTTTCGTACAGTGGCTGAATGGTCAATTGTCCAGTGCGAATTTGAGAGTGCTCTAAAGTTTTCAAGAATGACGAGAATACCCCCATGGTTCTAGTGAAATGACGGATATAAGTCTTGTTTGTAAAACGACGTGTCTTTGACCCATGACCTAGTCACGACTCTTAAATATTGCAGACAAAACTAAATAGAATATTTATTGTGGATCAAAATCGTGTTTTATGGGACCCAAAAACTAGAACTTCCAATTACTCATCCAAAGCTTGACCAAATACTTCTCTCTCTAGATATATGCTTAGACGCTCTCTTTCTTTCTCTCTCTGGATATATGCTTCGACTTAATTTGACAAAGATTTCAATGTTCAGGCCCCCTAATCAACAAACATTCAAACACAAAATCCTCTCTTAACTTTGACCAAAGTTGGGAAAAGTTCAGAGTTTCTTTTTTTTTTTAACTATTAAACAACTCTCCTTCTCTCTCTAAACAACTCTTTTTCTCTCTCTAAACATGTCGAATATGAAAATATTGAGATGACTAAACAACTCTCTTTCTCCCTTTAAACGTGTTGAAATATGAAAATATTGAGATGACTAAACAACTCTCTTTCTCCCTTTAAACGTGTTGAAATATAGGTATATTGGGAGAGATTAATTTAACGGTAATTAGTTGGGTCATATTTTTGGAAAGAGGATATAACATGTGTCGATTGTAAATGCCATAGCGAATTTTGTCATAACTAGAAATGATTGGGCCCTCCTGTAACTGCCAATCTGAAAAAGCACGGGCATGTTAGGTATTTCGGGCTATCTGGGGGTGTTTACGTCATTTTTGGGAGAAAAAGGTCAGGGGCGGTAGTTGTAGTTGGTTCAACCAATCGCCGGCTGTTTATTACCAACGACGGTTGAATCTCCGGCGTCCGTACTTGCCGGTCGATGGTCCCGAGACCGCCACGTGGGTCGAATGAGGTTATGGCGATAGCTGATGTGCCAAAGTGCCACGTGGCGGCGCCTTTCGCTTTTTTACAGACACAAATCCTAGCCCCTGACATTCATTTAATGACCGTCACGTCTTGCCCAGATGATTCCCAATCTGTCCTTTGGGTATTTGCTGAAACTTGGATCGGACGGCTCAGAGTTTCTGACGCTGGCTCCGGTGTGATTCTCCTGCACTCAACCAATGAGAGCCGTGGATTCCATGACCCTCATTGGACAGATCTTGGATCGGACGGTCCGATTTGCTCTAGACTGAGCCATTGAAGTCGCCCTTTCCATCAAAAGATCTGAGCCGATGATTTGACCAGGTGATTTCCGGTACATTAAGATAACATAGGGATTATGCAATCCAGGGTGGAATTTCCGAAATTGATTGGGATGGTTTTGGGTTTTCGAAGCGGCAGTTGAGGGGTAACTTAGTAATTTTTAATGCACTTTTACTGTGTGCGCTCGTGGGAAAATAAGGGAAACCGCCAGCTAGGTATTTGCTGGCGGTTTTTTAGGGAGGAAGTTAGGGTGCGAGTGCAGGTTTTACGCCAGCTTTCCGGCTAGCCTTCACGAGAGATAAAAACCGCCTGGTTTTCGTGACCGGTTTTTAAGGACAGTCCCTTTTTTTTTGTTATCTTTTTCAGTTTAATATGCCTAAAATACCCCTGAGAAGTTATAAATATCCATGATTGATGAATTTCAATTATTTTATCACCTCGCGAAAGAAGTTGTTAACCAAAAAACAAAAAAAAAAAAAACTTTATTCATGAGTCAGCGGGTGCTCTCTCACCAACTTCAGATGACGTTATAAAAAACCCATGGGCCAAAATGAATATACACGATGTAGAAAGTTTTTATAAGAAATATATTTCAAATATTAATTTTTTTTCATATTCCTGGCCGTCTTTAACTTAGATCATGCATTTCTAAAATTTTGAAATAAAAACTCATTTTTAAGATAGGCTTAAGTGGGGGTCCGTATGTGTACAGTATGAGTAGACCGGCTCGAATAAACCGTATCCAAAATGAAATGCGGTTTGTATAGGCCTAGGCCGAGCCAACTTTCAAATAGTATCGAGAAATGTAGTTTCAAATACTGAAAATACTTGTGATAGCCTTAAAATATATCTTTCTATTCTTTTTTATAAAGTTTAAAGCTTCAAAAATAGTGTAGATTGATATATCTATTAAAACTTTAAAATCTTGAAAATTGATGGTCTAAAAATACATTACAAAATACACTATTTCCAAAACTCAAAAACTATTTTTTTCTCATGTCCATGCATCTTGGTGTGAGAAGATCAATTTGAGTATATTTGGGCATCAAAACAACTTCTTATAGTGAAATTTTTGAGGTATCCGCAAATTTGATTGTTTAGAGCCTCTGCTCTATATAAACTTTTCCCAAAAGAAATATACACGATGAGACCATTTTGTTTTGAGTACAGGTTGTATAGAGCCTAGTCTCTAAACAATCAAATTAGAGCCTACCTTCAATAGTATCGAGAAATGTGGTTTCCATACTATAAATCTTTGTGATAGTCTTAAAATCTTTATTTATGAAGTTCAAATATTCAAAAATAGTGTAGATCGATAGATCTATGAAAACTTTAAAATCTTGATAATTGACGGTTAAAAAATGCGTTATAATACACTATTTATAAAACTTGAAATCCATTTTTTCTTTTTCATATCCATGCATCTTGATGTCGAGATGATCGATTTGATGATATTTGAGCATCAAAACAACCTCTTCTAGTGAATTTTATTTGGTAGGCTCTAATTTAATTGTTTAGAGCCCCAGCTCTATATTAACTTTTACCTTTTGTTTTTTATACCAGTCACAATTGATTTGATATGGGTGGACTGAGGTTTGTTATTGTTCAGGCACATAATCCAAACGATGATTTCTTGAATATTGTAACACACTTTCATTATTGAATTTCACATCCAACAGCTATAAGTGATTGTGACCTCCATGAACAAAAAATAAATGATTTTATTGTATTCAATCCCAAAAAAAACAATTAGTTGCATATAATAGAAAAGGTATTTGGATTTTCATATCGATAAATTATGGAGGCATTGGGAATACTTTGCTTGAATTTCTTATTTATTATTTATACTTGATGAACATTTTTTAATATCTTGCATTTTTATTTTGGAAAAATTTTATATAGAGCCGAGGCTCTAAACAATCAAATTAGAGCCCACCTCGAAATTTTCACTAGATGAGGTTGTTTTGATGCCCAAATATTCTCAAATTGATCATCTCGGCATTATGATGCATGAAAATGAGAAAAAATGGATTTCAAGTTTTGGAAAAAATGTATCTTGTAACACATTTTTTGACCGTGAATTTTAAAGACTTTAAAGATTTCATAGATCCACTCAATCTACACTATTTTTTAAGCTTTAAATTTTATAATTAGCGATAAAAATATATTTTAAGCCCATCACAAAAATTTTCAGAATTAAAACGACATTTCTCAACACTATTTGAAGGTGTGCTGTGCTTTGATTGTATAGAACCTCGGCTCTATGCAAGCCGCACCCATTTTTTGTTGTGAAACTTTCAATCTTATCACTTATTTCTTCAACTTTAAAAAACCGACTTTTTCTGTTATGTTGCTTTCAATTGGAGTTTGCTTAACTACTCACTGATAAAAACATACTGAGTAATGAAATTATATAATAAAATGATTATGATAATATATTAGGTTGCAGGCCCCAATGTCTAAACGCTTTTCTTTTTCTCTACGCTGAAACATATGATGGCGTGGTCCCGCTTATATGACGGCCATGATTCTTTGATCACAATCCGGGGACCAAGTGAGAGGCCCAATTTTTTTTATATGGGGTGTTCTTAAGATGTACAGTGGGATCAGACTGTACACTTACTCCTAAAATATATATTTAGGAATATTTTATACCTCTAAAGCCGCATTTCGGGAAAGGGGAAACAAATTATGAGTTTCGAAGCTTTAGATCTAATTATCCAAATATTAGATACCCCCATTAGGATATTATTTTATTGGAAACGATTTCACTGCAATACCATTTAACTTTTGTACAAAGAGAGAGCCATCATTTTCAGCCGTCACTAGATATGAGATCCAGTGGTTTGAGGGTATCATTGATTGAGCTTGAAGTCTAAAATTTCAAACTTACGATACATCTCATATTGTCAAATTTTACATTTGACAACTATAGATTATTACAACTTTCTTAAACTAAAAATGAATAATATTATAGTATATACTATATATATTAAATTTTAAATAAATAGGCTTATAGTATAAAATACTTATATTTGGGGAAGCACCAAGTAAGTTTTTAGAAAAATTGTTGAAATAACCACAAGATATGAACTATTAAACATTTTACTTATATCTTTTGGTTAAGTTTCACAAAACCTTAAAAAAGTCCACCATAAGGACATGGAATAATTACAAAAAAAGTCAAATGTTAAATACTTTTACAAGTAATTGGATAATTTTTTAAAAAATTTCTTAGCTTTTTTTTTAAAACAATGTTCGGTAGTTATGTCCAAGTATTTGAAGTCCCCAAACTCCAAAGTCCCCTAAACTCTCCAAAAGCGGGGTATCCTTTTATTAATGTGGGTAAGAGAAAAATTACTATTTTTATAAAATATCATCGACATTATAATATTTTTCCAACTGTTTGAAGGCGACAGTATTTATTTATGAAGTATTTCCTAAAAATGGATGACTTTACATTATAGGGGTGAAAGAGGAAAAATGTTCGAGGGTAGAAAGATAAATACTGAATTTTATTAGGGCAC